TATGTATGTATGTATGTATGTATGTATGTATGTATGTATGTATGTATGTATGTATGTATGTATGTATGTATGTATGTATGTATGTATGTATGTAGGAAACCATTCAAGAGAGAACTTGTTAGTTTGTGATAATTGTGAGATCCAATATCAACCACAAAATCAATGGTTAAATTAGAAAACTAATAATTTTGGTAATTTGACTTAAAATTTTAACTAAAAGACATTTTAGATATTTTAAAAATCTTATATATCATCTCTCATCTCTTCGTTGAACTTTATTGCGGCGAGTCTCCGATCTAAAATGAAATCTGAACAAAAACCAGAAACCGAAACCGATCTAGGTGTGTAGAAACTAGATCTCTTGGAATATGAAAAACGAAATTGATATGGGTTGTTCAATAGGGAGAGTCGGACCGGTGAAGGTGAGAGTTGAGGAGATGATAGCCGGTGGTTGGAGATGGATAGAGAATAAGAATCAGCGGTGGCTGATGGCCAGTTATGGACGGAAAAGGAGGCGTCATATGGTGTTGGGAAAAGGGATCGGTGTAAAGTGTCACCTCGAAGAGGAAGCACGTTTTGCCCGATGATGGGGAAAGAGGGTTACAAATGATGATCTAGTCCATTCTAATACACACACACACACACACATATCTGTTTCAAAATTAGATCGTGACACACATACACACACACACACACACACATATATATATATATGTGTGTGTGTGTGTGTGTGTGTGTATGTATATAGTTGGGTTCACGTAAGACCAACCTGTTTTCGTGATATCGTAAAACTACATTTTTACATTTGAAATTTCACAATAACACACTGTGAAGGTAAAAAAAATTCGAACTTTCACATCAAAAACACTATGAAGGTTACATTCACAGTATTTTGCTGTGAAATTTTAAATGTAAAAAAATGATCTCACGGGTTTCATGAAAACAATCTGGTCTCATATGATTTCAAGTCTCTCTATATAGATGACGAATCATTTGCAAAGCATCCAAAAGTTAAAAACTGTACAAGCTCATCTACTTCATTCATTTTTTTTTATCAACGGTTAATTTTAATTGATGAAAAATAAGGAAAGGCAAATTGGGGAAACATTTTAGAATATTTAAATATAAATTCTTACCATTAAAATGATCACCATTTATATTTATTGCTTTATAACGCCCCTCTCTCTCTTCTCCCTTCATTCATTTCGTTTATTAAATTTTCAGATAAACTATATTTACCATTAAAAGTAAATGTGATTTTGCATCACTTTCATGCGAGAAGATAAATATGCGAATTAACTAATTACATTAGAGATAGAGTTTGATTTTACGATTTTAAAGTTTACTGGATGTTTCACATATGAAATAATACATGTAAGTTGAAACATTACTTTACGTCTTTTCAATATGTACAAATATTTTTTGTTAGATTTTTGATATTTCTCATATGAAACATTATTATGAATTATTAAAAAAAAATTAATGTGTTGATTCATAAGTGAAATAACACTGATATGAAACTAGGTAAGAAAAACACTAATTGTTTCATATGAGAAACAATAATTGGTTAGTTTTATATGAAAAACAAAACAGTCACAGGTTAAAAGGTTAATGCATTGTTCTACAAGTGAAACAATACTGATATAAAACTAGAGTAACTAAACTGTTATTGTTTCATATAAAAAAAATAGTTGGTTGGGTTTCATGTAAAAAACAAAACGGTTGGAAACAGTGTGGGAAATCGGTTACATATGACAACTGAATAAATTTAGAAGAAAGTAATAATTCCAAAAATAAATCTAATTAATTTGGAATCTTATAAGTTATTTAAGTAGGATAATTATCCTTATTGTAAAAACAAATATGCATTTGTTTCTAAGGTTTGTGACCTTTAGATATTTTGTAAAAGAAGAGGACTATAATATTATATTTCAGAAAAGTCCATTTACAATAATTGTATTTTTGTTATAAATCAATATAACGTATTTTAAGTTGTCTAAACGAATATTTTCTATCAGTAATTTTTTAAATTTTAATTTAGGGACCGTTTATCAAATGCTTACTCAAGTAATCGTTTACAAAGTTATATTACCTTACCGGATGAACATAGCAAGAATCAAGAATCTTATCCGATAAGAGCGAGCTAATGACCGAGAGTCTTACCCGGTAAGTGAGGGTAATGACTCTTACCACGGTCAGCTCTTACCAGATAAATTGTTGCATAAAAAGACGTTTTTGTTGACTAAAATTTTATCCTGTAAGTTAATAATAATATTGAATTTTACCGTTAAATGCTTATCGGATAAGTGTTTGATAAATGATCCCGTATTGTTTGATTACATAATAATTTTGGTTCTAATATATATCTTCTGTTTCTTTCTAAAACGCGGGAATTTATATCTTTTATTTGTATTAGTCATTTTTAAATATTTAATCCAAAATAAAAATTTAGTTTTTGTAAATTAGTTATTATAATTTTTGACTTTTTGCTGGAATAAAGGCTTTTCTGTCAATAAATAATAAAAAAAGAATTTGGCTAATTACCTTAATGCCCATAGAGAAATTTAGCCGTCGAGAGAGATTAGAAAAAGTCAAGCGTGTAGTACAACAGCCACCAGAAGTATCGTACAAGTGGGGACAAAATTGGAGTTTAAGCAATGTCAAGGGCTATATCTGGTAAATCCCCCCTAAAACCCAAAATTTTTCCTTTTAATTAAATTTAAAATATATCTTAACAGATAAATTGCATTAATGGTCCCTCAGGTTATGGTTAGTTTTCAAATCCACCTCAAAGGTTTAGACTTTGACTACTTTATATGCAATAAAATATCTCGAGATAAGTCATTTTTTCTAAACTATAACTTTCGATAGAGTAAAAACTGTAACAAAGATTATTACAATAATTAATATTTGTGTTTCTAAGGAAGTTGTGGAACACTCGTACAAATTTAAATCTCTTTCAAAACAAAGATGAACTAATTTAAATCACTAGAAGTTGTAAACTGTGTTTAAATCACTGATTTTTGCCATTGTTTTAACATGTTAATGGTATTTGTGCCCCATTTCTATTTAGAACTGTATTTTCCATTCTTGTTTGAGGGATTATGGTACCAAATCATTTGATAATCGCATATGTAGTACATCTTATTTTTGTTTCAATATAAGGTACCACGTGCTATTATTGTTATATTTTTTAAACAAAAATACTTCTTGTATTCTATTTTTTCTTCTATCTAAGGGACGATGTTACTGATTGATGGTGAAAGTGGTAAGAATTCATAAAATGATCAAGAAGGATCAAAATGACTGAGTCTTTGAGTATGCATAAATGAATAATAGTTGATTGTGGGTCTGATCCAATTCTTTGGGCCTAAATCGATCTCGATATTTTAACCGTAGACTAATCAAGTACCGATTCGAAATAGAAATAATTCAGATTAGGACCAGACAGATAAGGTCTAGACTTTCTTTTGTGGAGGCAACATTGACCTATTTTTAGAACAATAAGGCTTGGTGTAGACTCAATTATGACTGCTAGTCCAAATCGGTCCTAAATTTTGGAACCAAAGATTGAAATTTATGCATCTTTAGTAACACAGTTTCTTATATAAGAAAAAAATATAACCATTTATTTGTGTTTTTGAATGTACAAAGCATAAAACAAAAATAAACATATGCTACACTACTTTCATTAGGATTAATACATGCAACAACAAAATCTCCATTTTTGCTTCTTCGCTCATTTAAGGGTCGTTTACTAAGTGAGGGTAGTAACTCTTACTCAGTTCGTGCTTACCGGGTAAGAAAACGCTTATATTATGTTATTTAGAAAATTGAGAATTTCACTTGATACACTAAGCACGTATGGTGACTCTTACCCTGTAAGCACTTATCCACTTCGTGTTGATATACATCCCCTTTCTCATCAAAAAATACCAAGTCTTGCCTATCACATTAAAATAGTCGAGGGCTTATCACGAGTTATAGTAGTTTTTAGGGGTGCATGTTATCAAAATACTAAAAGATAAGGGGCCTAAGTGAAAATATCCTAAAACCATAGTTTAGATGTATTTGCTTACCTGCCCTTACCCACCACCAAGACCAACCCTTGGGGTTTCTTATTTTACTCCATTGTTCTTCACCACCTCCATCCCACACTTTCTCTCTCTCATCCACCATATAGAATTATAGATACATCTCTCTCTCTCTCTCTCTCTCTCTCTCTGTATATATATACATATCTGTGAATATATATACACATAGTTGTTTTTTAGTCGTCTGTGGTTTTGCAATGGCGCCGACCTTCAGAGACATCCAGCTGACGGGGGCTGGGGGCCGTGATTCGTTGGCGATCGATGTTGGCGGTGATCTCGAGGATGTTAGACTGCTGGATTCTTATGAAGATGAGTATGATAATAATGATGATTCAGGTAAAAAAAGTAAAGAGGGTTTAGAGGAAGGGGGTATGAAGAGAATTCAGGTGAGAGTTACCGGGATGACATGTGCAGCGTGTTCGAGTTCTGTTGAAGGAGCTCTTATGAGCTTAAATGGCGTCGTAAGTGCTTCTGTTGCTTTGTTGCAGCATAAAGCCGATGTAGTCTTCGATCCCAATTTGGTCAAGGTCAGTATTATGTTTGAAATTATTTTGAATCTATACTTGATGAAGAACTAAACGCTCCCTAAAGGTTTTGAAGTAAACTTTGAAGGAATCATTGATTGTTAACTCTTAGTTAAATTTTTAATCAATTTTTTAGTCAAGTTTTGGGATTTTATCTTTGTGAATTTGTGATTATAAGCATTGACGATCGTTCTAGTTGATTTAAAAGGGGGTGTGGATCTAAGAGGTTGTTTTGTTCCCTTTTTGCTCTTTTCAGAATCGATCTAAATTATCTATATTCTTGGCACCATTAGTATCCTAATTGTAATATCTTAAATTCAATTTAGGGTAGATTTTGGTCTTCTTTTGTTTTTAGGTGACGATTATATAAGCTCATATTTGTACTGTTGATTCTGTTCGAAGGTAGTTCATTTGGGATAATGGAGTATTGATAAAAGATAAAATAGTTTTAAAAATTACAATCAACATCCTGATTACTGCAAGAATCACTTTTATGAGTTATAATTGATTAATTATGCAAACTTATCATACTGGGTGCATATAGCTGGAATTCTTGTGTATCTAATGTTTCAAGGCTTTTCATGGATCCCCTTTGTCATGCCATGGATATAGTTCAACCACTCTGCACCTTCGGATAGAGGTCAAGTCTGCATCCGTCTCACCCCGGACCCCACCGGATACCGCCCTTGTTTGGTTTGGTTTATCTAGAGAAATTGTATCATTTGTTATGCTCATATGAGAATCAGTAACAAAAGGGACTTATATATATATACACATATAATTAGGATCACGTAGGAAATCAAAATTTGGTGAGAATGGTAGGAAGACTTAATAGATGTTAGCATTGAAATGTTAAAATAAGTTAACATGAAAATGTCAACATAAGGTAAAATACATCAACAAATATTAACACCTGTATGTTAACTTATGTTAACATCCAAGTACTTCCTATGCATCCTATGGAAATTTGATTTCCTACCGGAACCCGACCCTATATAGAGTACACACACACACACACACACACACATATATATATATATATATAAACCAAACTAAACAGACTCGATGAATCCTACTCGAGTTAGGGTCTTGGGTGTGGAGGTGCACTGTGCACGTAAACCTGGCCTCTCCCACCAAAGAATAGAGCGGCTGTTTCCATGAAGACCCGAACTTCAGTAACAGAAGGAACTTATATATATTGTTTACATTATTTACACAGGAAGAAGATGTCAAGAATGCAATAGAAGATGCAGGGTTCGATGCAGAGATTCTACAAGAACAGAGCACTGCTCGCACAAAGCCACAAGGAACTCTAGTAGGGCAGTTCACAATTGGCGGCATGACATGTGCAGCGTGTGTTAATTCCGTTGAAGGTATCTTAAGAAAGCTTCCCGGTGTCAAAAGAGCCATTGTTGCTCTTTCAACTTCATTAGGGGAAGTGGAATACGATTCTTCCATAATAAGCAAGGAGGAAATCGTCAACGCAATTGAAGATGCCGGTTTTGATGCCTCATTTGTACAGAGCAGTGAGCAGGACAAAATTATTTTAGGAGTTATTGGGATAGCAAGCGAGCTGGATGTGCAGGCATTAGAAAGTATTCTTTGCAACTTGAAAGGAGTTAAACAATTCGGTTTCAACAGGATATCGAGAGAATTAGATGTTCTTTTTGATACCGAGATTCTGGGTCCTAGATCTTTAGTTGATGCGCTTGTTAGAGAAAGCTCTGGGAGGTTTCAGATTCATGTAAAGAACCCATATACAAGAATGGTATCCCAAGATCAGGAAGAATCAGCAAATATGTATCGACTCTTTACATCCAGTCTGTTTCTCAGTGTAAGTGAACCTTCTTTTGTCATATTTTCTGTTGGAAATTGGTCTAGTCATGTTTGACTAAATTTTTTGGCTGACAAGTTAGATGACGATGACAATTTGAAAAGACTTAAAAGGACATGTTTGAAAAATTAATTGTGAAAAATAAGAGGCATAATTGGGAAAAAGTGGAAAAAGGTGGAAAAAAGCCCAAAAAGCTTAATGAAATGTTACTTGAAGTAGTTTTCAGCAGCTAGCTTATTGCTAACCAAATGGGGTTTTTTCAGTAAGTTTAAAAAGTAATTATATGGTTGCCAAACATGGCATATAAGTTGGCACGTTCAAACTTCAATTTGATTGGCTTTGCGTGCCTTTCCGTTTGGTCAGCCTTTTATGCTGTTTTTCTTGACATACGTTTGCATTATTTATAGGAATTCTAGTGTTCTGTTTCTTATAATTCCATTAAGAAGGACAATATAATCGTATATAGCAATGGTAATATAAAACTATGTAGAGGGTATATCAATATACTTCCTCCATCCCAAAATAAATGTCCACAATGAAAAAAACATCCCATTTTAGAAATGTGTAATTATTACACTTTTAATTAACTAAATGACAGTTGTACCCTTGATAATAAAGGGAATAATGAATTTCTCCATTTTATAATCAAGGGTAGAACTGGAAAGTGGACACTTGGAACAAACTAAAATGAAAACATGAACACTCAGTTTGGGACCAAGGGAATATTTATTTGAAAACATTTGCTCAACTTTCCTTCACTTAATTGCTGACCATTTATCTTCATTGCAGCTTCCTATCTTTCTCATGCGATTCATATGTCCACATATACCTCTTCTTTACGCCTTATTGCTTTGGCGATGTGGACCATTCCAAATGGGCGATTGGTTGAACTGGATATTGGTTTCTCTTGTTCAGTTTGTTATTGGGAAGCGTTTTTATATTGCAGCTTTCAGAGCGTTACGTAATGGTTCAACAAACATGGATGTCTTGGTGGCACTGGGAACCACAGCCTCCTACGTTTATTCCGTTTATGCTCTTCTTTACGGTGCAATCACCGGGTTTTGGTCCCCAACGTACTTTGAAACCAGTGCCATGTTAATAACTTTTGTGTTGCTCGGAAAGTACTTGGAAATTCTTGCAAAAGGGAAAACATCAGATGCTATAAAGAAGCTGGTAGAACTTGTGCCTGCAACAGCTTTGCTACTTGTTAAAGACAAAGGTATGGTCTTTCTTGCACTTATAGTTGAATAATCAAGAATCATTCAACAAAATTAAGATTTTACTTAATACCTTCTCATAACCCTGATTCTACCGGGCATCGGGGCTTAATGCAGTTAGTCCTTGGGTGGTATACACTCACAAACAGACGAGGGTTCGAGTCTGGAAGCCGTTGTGTGGGAGTTTCAATTCCTTTGGGGATTGACCTCCTTTGTGGGCACTGGCTTTTAAGTGAACTATTTGGTGGGCCACTGTGTACCTGATTTGCCTCACATGATTGATTGCTCTAGGGGCAGGGTAGGGTTGGCCGGCTTGAGGTTTGCTGGCTAGAAATCCCGATTATTTATTTTGAAATTGAACTTGGGAATTGACTTGGCAGACTTTACCTCCCCAGACCCACGCTACCTCTGCGTGGGATTTACTGGGACTAGTTGGTTTAGCACTTAGTGGATGCCCTTTGGTTGCAACATTTAAATTATTGAATTTTTTTGTCTAATAGATGGAAAGAATGTCGGAGAACGGGAAATAGATGCTTTACTGATTCAGCCTGGGGATGTATTAAAAGTTCTTCCGGGTACAAAGGTTCCTGTTGATGGTCATGTTGTCTGGGGTTCAAGTTATGTAAACGAAAGTATGGTTACAGGTGAATCCGCACCTGTTTTGAAGGAAGCTGATTCCTTGGTGATTGGAGGTACAATAAATTTTCACGGTTTACTTCATGTTCGGGCTACCAAAATTGGTTCCGACACAGTTTTGAGCCAAATAATTTCTCTGGTTGAGACCGCACAAATGTCAAAAGCACCTATTCAGAAATTCGCTGATTATGTAAGTATACATGTTGATTATTTCATGTCTTTTTATTGCTCTATATTAACAAAACGTCCCAAAAGATAGCCAGAAAATTGATTGTTGTAAACTCTATGGGGCAGCTCAACTGGCAAGACCTTGGGTTTTCTCCCCAGTGGTCAATGGTTTGGTTCCCCTCAGGGCGAATGGAGGTTTGCCTCGCTGTTAACTTGAGGGGCCCGTGGGATTAGTCGAGGGGTGCGTTAGCATAGAGTCAGATGACAATCTATTGATCTGTCGTATTGGTGTGTTTCAGGTTGCAAGCATTTTTGTGCCTACGGTTGTGGCTTTGTCGTTTGTGACGTTACTAGGGTGGTAAGTTTCTAACAAGTTTTTTTTGGGCATGGTCATGTAGGCCATGTTTGGCAACCACTAAGTAGTTTATTTTTTGAGCTTATTGAAGAAGCCCCATTTGGTTAGTCATAATCTAGCTTTTTGAAAAGCTACTTCAAGTAGCTTTTCAATACGCTCTGTGGTTTTTTTCCACCTTTTTCCAATTTTGCCCTTTATATTTTTCCAATTAATTTTTCAACATGTTATTTTATACTGTCATCTAGCTTATCAACTACATGACTAGTTTATGAGCTAGCTTATCCTCTGGCAACTATCTTTTTAGTTGATAGCTAGCTTAAAAGCCTACAACCATCTTTGTAGTTAACAGCGAACTTTTTAGCTAACAGCTAGCTTATTAGCTAATTTGCCAAATGTAACCGTAGTCATTAGATGAAAATAGGATAAATCTTCTTATCTTTTCTATCTCATTTCAATCCTAGGTATATTAGCGGAACCCTTGGAGCTTACCCAGACGACTGGCTGCCTGAAAATGGAAACCACTTTGTTTTCGCTCTTATGTTTTCAATATCGGTTGTTGTAATTGCTTGTCCATGCGCGCTTGGTTTGGCTACCCCAACCGCAGTCATGGTTGCAACCGGAGTTGGAGCCAATAATGGTGTTCTAATCAAAGGAGGAGACGCATTAGAGCGGGCCCAGAAGGTTAAGTATGTGATTTTTGATAAAACGGGAACTTTAACTCAGGGTAAAGCCACGGTGACTACCGTCAAAGTATTCACAGAAATGGATCGTGGAGATTTCCTCAGATTGCTAGCTTCTGCCGAGGTTTGTTCTACTTCATTTGCTAATTTATTTTGTAACTCTTAGGCCATGTTTGGTAACAATAAGCTCGCTTATTCTTTTGCGCTTATTGAAAAAGTCCCGTTTGGTCAACCATAGACTATCTTTTAGAAAGGTCATTTCAAGTAGCGTTTCAATAAGCTTCAAAGGCGTTTTTGTTCTTTCCGGTTATGCCCCTTATATTGTTCAATTTAATTTTTTGATACATCATTTTAAGTTATTTTACATAGTTAATCAGTTATATTAACCTGAATATCTACAATGGGAGTTATCTAAAAGTTTTTTGGTCACATCGGATTTTAGAAAACATTTGATGCGGGCCCCACTTTTTTGAAAAGTTCTGTTGTTTTCAATGGCCACATAAGCTTGTGGGTCCCATTTCTTTTGATGAAAAAGCTCGTTATTGTAGATGATAAATTGATTTATCAGCAACCAACTAACCTGTGAGAGTTGTAATGATATATGCTTAGAGCTTCAATTAAAAGCAATGACTTCATTTCAGGCAAGTAGTGAACATCCGCTAGCGAAGGCAATACTGGAATATGCTCGCCACTTTAATTTCTTTGAGAACCCGACTGCAACCGATGAATCTCAAAGTCATAGCAATGAGTCGGCTATGTCTGGATGGCTTCTTGAGGCAACGGATTTCTCTGCCATTCCCGGAAGAGGCGTTCAGTGTGATATCGACGGCAAGCAGGTTTTGGTGAGATACCGACACTAAAACTATAAACTCCCTCCGTCTCAAAATAAGTGTCTACATTTCTATTTTAATTTTTCCAAAATATGTGTCCACTATAAAAAGTAAATGGCTACCTCCAATCCTGCTCTTAATTATGAGATGGAGAAATTCATACTCCCTCTATTTATTAAGGGTATATTTGCCATTTTATTAATTAAAAAATGTAATGAGTACACGTTTCTAAAACTATGTTTTTTTCCATTGTGGACGTCTATTTTGGGACGGAGGGAGTATTTATGTTCGATGAAGTTAATCATAGTTATCGAGCATTGCTTATATAAAACTCTTTTTTCAACAGGTTGGTAATAGAAGTTTGCTAGCGGAAAAAGGGATCGCCATTCCAACCAACATTGAAAATTTTGTGGTTGATCTAGAAGAAAACGCAAAGACCGGTATACTGGTGGCATATGATTCCGTACTGATTGGTGTGGTGGGAGTGGCGGATCCGTTGAAGAGAGAGGCGGCAGTGGTGGTGGAAGGCCTTAAGAAAATGGGTGTTCGACCGATCATGGTTACTGGAGATAATTGGCGGACCGCCAGAGCTGTCGCAAAGGAGGTATGTGTGGTTCAAAGACAGTCTGTAAATCACGGTTTTGCCCCAAACTGTACTTTCAAGTGAGATATATTGAGTTGTATCTGTTACCCCAAATCGTATTTTTGTGTGAGATATCCTGGGTTGATTTATCTTTGTTATCCCAGACCGTACTTTTGAGTGAGATATACCAGGTTGATTTATATCTGTTTGGTTTGTATTAGTCGTGTTTTAAATCTAAAAAAAAACCCGAATCATGTTTGTTTGCAGGTGGACATTCAAGACATACGGGCGGAAGTGATGCCGGCTGGAAAAGCAGATGTTATCCGTTCATTTCAAAAAGACGGTAGCATAGTTGCGATGGTCGGAGATGGCATCAACGACTCCCCTGCCTTGGCGGCGGCCGATGTCGGCATAGCAATCGGAGCAGGAACCGACATCGCGATAGAGGCAGCAGATTACGTTCTGATGAAAAACAACTTGGAAGATGTGATCACAGCCATTGATCTCTCGAGAAAGACGTTTACACGTATCCGACTAAATTACGTGTTTGCCATGGCGTACAACGTGATATCGATTCCGATTGCGGCCGGGGTTTTCTTTCCGTGGTTAAAGATCAAGTTGCCACCGTGGGTCGCGGGTGCGTGCATGGCTCTTTCGTCTGTAAGTGTTGTATGCTCGTCTTTGCTTCTACGTAGATATAAAAAACCGAGACTTACTACGATACTGGAAATAACCGTAGAGTAGGCAAGTGTAAAATTACGAAATGGGGATTGGGTATTACATTGTGAAGAAGGAAACAGAGGGGTAAACGCGTCCCAATTTTTTGTGTTCTGATGTAGATTTATTCATTGCTTTAGTTGATCATGTATAATCCTTCGTCAATGTAAATGCAGCTTGGTGGTAATTACATATTAACACATGTTTATATTGTTGTTTTGAATAAATAATCTGAACAATAAAAATTGCTTAAAATATAAACTGTTTGATAAATATTTAAAATAAATAGATATATAAATAATATAAATTATTTAAAATAACATAAATGATATTAATTCAAGGAGTTTGAGTTTATAACACAATGTTACATAGCTTAAAATATATTTAAAACAATAAAGTATTATTGTTTGATTATAATTTTTGATTTATACATGTTGGTAAACTATTTATTTTATAATGAGACGTGTGATATGAAATTGTAGAACAAGGGTGATAAGTGGTTTTCGTTGGGAAATTGTTGTCTTCTTTTGATTGAGCGACTGCCTATCTTGTATCTGTGTCTCGTTGTAGCTATTCAAATAATCCTTAAGACAAATGTAATGCAACAATTCCAGTGTAAGATGTCGTTTACTAAACACTTACTTGGTAAGTGCTTACCGCATAAATTTCTTCATCGGGTGAATATGAGAAGGGCCAAGAGTCTTACTGGATAAGAGCGATGAGAAGGAATGAAGATTCTTACCGGGTAAGTGATGATGACGACTCTTACACAGGTAAGTGAAATGTTGCATTCGATATGTTTTGATGTACTAAATTCTTACGCATCAAAATAAATGATAGTGTTGATTCATATCAATAAGCGCTTACCGGATAAGCATTTGGGTAAACGGCTCTTAAATCTCATCATTTATTCCCAAAACAGTCACCAAAAGAAAAATCAGATTACAAAGTTATGATACTAGCTTGTACATAAGGACATAATATAGTCCATGAGGGGCCAAAATGAAATAGCACATTTTTAAGTTTCCAAACCTACTTGTTTTATTTTCATCAGAAAGTTAATTTTACGTACTTAATTTGCATAAAATATGAAAAGTTTACGATGTTCGATTTAACAAAAAAACTTATACACCATTTTTTCAAATTTTCACATCCGACCATTTATACAAAAGATCATCCGCTTATCAAAACTGTTTACGTCGCTTCAATCATTTCATGTCATCAAGTTCGATTTTATATTTCTCGTAATGTTATCTTAATCTGTTGGTACATGGTCTCCTAACCCATGCATCAGCACATATTCAGTTTTAAGTAATGAATTAGTTTTATTTGCCGTTCGTTAAATTGTATTTTATTAAAATTACAGTTATAATTACTTATTTTAATATATTTTGTAATCATAATATCTATCATTTTATCTTTAGATATAAAATTATTACTTCATCACTATACATCTAGTAATGTAATTGTTTTACAACAATTTTATTTAGCATTAACTACATGAACAAACAATATTTAACCTAATCAAAGTAAAAAATATTTTACCCTAAATAATCACACAATCAAGGAGCTAATTACAAATTTGAAGCTTGCTCCATTTGTGTCTTCTTTTTTAAGCACCGGTTTTTGGGACATGTCATGCATGTCGACTAATCTTGTGGGCGACCATAAATGACCTAGAGTTATAGCAGATGAACCTCTATGACCGGAAGAGCTTTAGTAGTGCCTAAATTTGAACCTGGGGTTGATGAGATTTTCCATTACCTCCCCTTGTATATTGGCGGTAACTATGTGAGGTAGCAAGGTTCTAAATAGCGTGACGGGTGATGTGGCGGCGAGGCTGTAACATCTAGAAATTTATCGAATCTTTTATTTATATATTTTTGGTCTTCCTTTAGTAAAAAGAAAAAAACATACCTTGAAAAAGAAAAAAAGCGGGGTTAATCCTCTTACCTTTGAGTCCTTAGCTTCTGTTTAATAAAGAAAAATGGGGAAGGAAAGTGAGAAAGAAAAAGTAGGAAATGGGAGAGGTTGAAGACGGAGAGTAGTAGCTGTTGGTTTTTTGAGGGAGAAGGGTTGTGGCCTCAAGGAAAATAACCCTTGGGAGGGATATTGCAACTGCCGGTGTTGACCCTTAGCGCCGTCCAAAACCCACCTGCACCTCCAGCCGTGTCCGCCTACGCTCCAGCCATCTTCGCACCACGGAACAGCAGGCAGCAGGCGCTGTTCTTTCGACTTCTTTGCCTGAACAGCCGGTACTGCTATGCCTCGCCAAGCAACAGACAGCAACCAGCAGGCAGCAGCCTTGCTGCGTGTTTCTTCGTCTCCTTGCCAAGCCACAGACAGCAAACAGCAGGCAGCAGCCTTGCTGTGCTGTTTCTTCGTTTCCCTCGCCCAAACAGCAGCCCTGCTGCGTGTTTTCTCCGTCCTCCTTGCACGAACAACGGTCGTTGCTGTGCTTCGCCAAACAGCAGCCGCTGTTGAGCTGTTTCTTTGTTTACCTCGCCAAACAGAAACCACTGCTGTACTATTTCTTCGTTAGCTTCGCCCAAATAGCAGGCGCTGCTGTGTTGTTCTTCGTTTTGCCCGATTCTCCACTCCTTCAGTTTCTGTTGCTGCTGCTGCCCCACGAAGATAGGAGTGCAATCTTGCTACTTTCGAGTTTCCTTCCGTCAACCGGTTAATTTCAAGAGATTGGGATTTCTTCTAAATCCTACAAGGTGAGTTCATCTTAACCCTATATATAAATATATATGCTACTGAAATGAAGTACCTTACTTATCCTATGCCTTAATTTATTGCAGATACTCACTTAGGTGAAATGGTTAGTTTTAGGTCATAAGGATGAACTTGGGTGATCTCATTATTAAAGAAAAGTCGAGTCTGGGCAAATGACTTTGACCAATTGGTAGGATGCTCCTTTCAAAGTGTTGTTGGCATTTAAATTCTAAAAGGTTCATGCCCATAGTTCGGGGTTCTTTATTGGCAAGTGAAGAATATTTTGCTTGAGTTAGGACACACGTGAAACCTTATTGATAAATAAGTGCTATTACGCTTATGGCACCCTATTCGTGTATTTTACTAGAATGTAATGAGTCTTAAGGCATGAAGAGTCGTTTCATTGTAGTTGTGTGAAGGATGGTGTAAGTTGGACTTAGACATTGTGATTATTATGTAAATTCCAAATCATC